GTAAACATTTCTAAATTCATAATTCCACTTTGACATTATGGGGTATTGTGTGTGATTTATTGACGGTCCCTAACCACCCCCAGAGATAGGCTATCCAAAATCAAACCAACCTATCCACAGTCGCACATCAGCCGGCTGTAGCTTATTGGCGAAAGAAGTTGGCTAGCACTAGCTAGCGTAGGCGACTTCAAGACACATGACTGGTTAGGCTGTTTCAAGTTATCTAGAAGGGTGAGTGACTAACTGTGTACTGTTTTGGCAGAGTGAATGTACAAACGCTTGCCATGTGCAAACACACTCACACTAGAGACACCCACATTAAACCACCTTCCCAAGACAACTCTCGTTTGTCTTCAGTCATGGCTGCTGCATTTCTTAATGAGCAAGATAAAAAACAAGGCCAAATCACTAAGTTCAGCCCCCCTTTAACAATTCCCCCATGTTCACATCATAGAAAATAAGTGATAAATACTGAACATTTAAAATGCGGGACTTTTTAACTCATGACTCTTATTATTGATTTGAGATTAGTGTGATAGGTTCCAGGGTCCCTGTTGGTACCTTGAATTTAGTTGCTTCTGGAGTACATCTGCAGCTTCCAGCGTACTGCAAATGGCAAAGTGGCAAATGGTTTTTGTCACCGAGCATCATCGTGACAAAACGCAACACTCATCGTAATCATGTTTGCCATTTCAGAGTCACGTCTCACTAACTATCGAAACGATGTGAGCTGACAACATATCATGATGATGTGAATTAAGGCAATAACCTTAAACTCTGTCAGCCCGCAAGTCTTCCTCTCCTCCCCCATTTCCCTCAAACCTCTTCTCTTTGCCTGCTCCGAATCCCACACGTTTCAATATGCTCCTGTTCTTATGTATTAAAGGAGAGCTGGCATGTCAGAGTCACAGAGTCCCTGGGCTTTGCATATCTTACACGCTCCCTGATTACGACAGTCAGTGGCAGCAGCAGCAGCCAGCCGTCCGTGAAGACCGCAGCAGGCTCCCAGATTTACACCACGGCCCCGGGGCAATGGCATTACACGAGACATTGGCGGGAAAAGCCTGGTCAACATGAAAGACAGCGTCCACGGGATCCCTGCTGCAGCCAACAGAAACCACCAGGGTGCCGTCAACGGCGTAACCACTGTTCTGGCAGACTGGAACCGCTGCTCAGACTGAGGCCTGATTTCATGTCATGTAATGGTGGTACTGAGTGTAATGGTGGCTCCTGTGCCAATCCTGTTGCCCTTGGACTATGTCCTACAAGTTTAGCCCCCAAGTTTTTCATATTTGACACAAGTCTGGGAAACCAAAGAGTACCTTACCATATGAACACTTATTGTAATCTGAGAGCGTACAGATTATTCTGTTTTTTCACAAACTATTTTCCTTACTATTACTTTGCTTCCTTTACTGTTAAGAGGCCTGTTTTTATTTCACTAATGAACAGCAGTATTACAAGTCTCAGAAAGAGATTAAAAAACTTTACATTTGCTGGAATATAATATTATATTGAAGGACATATCTGTTAATTGTGTGTCACAGCAACTATTCCATTCTGTTAACCTAAAAAATGTGTTGGCGTGTACAAAATAATCTTGACTAATTCTACATATTGTTACATTAATTAAAAGAGAAAAGTAATTAATTTGCCAGGCATATGGCTTTACGTTCCAAACATTTTAATTACTCTGTCTTGTTTAAGACACAAGACAAAGAATCTTATTAGCATACCAAAAAAAAACATGTATACAGTAAAGTATTTAGCATTTGTAAGATTTTGCTGAATAATGTGCTACCATGGCAACAGTAACAGTTACATTTCTATTCAGAGACTACAAAAACACACATTTTATTATTGTGCTGTTGCTTTAAGAGGGGAGGACAGTTGAATAAGTGAGATGTCTCATTGGCTAGTCATGTCGTCTTACTCGATTACCCCGGTCTCTGCAATGGGGTCATGCATGTGAGCACAGACGAACAGCCCTCTAATGGCTTACTACTGCAGCCTGAGTCCACTTTTCCCCCTAGACTTAGCAATAGATATTGCTGTAGTACTGAGCAGAACAACGGTCCTATTGAGGGGGCATTTTACACCTTTCCTTCTTTGTATGATAGTGCTGAGTGATTAGTGCTTTTATAGGTCGGTTTCGGTTCGATTATTAAAAAATCACTAGTTTTCGATTTTGGTTTCTATATATTTTTTTAACATGAAATATATTATGAAATAATGACGATACAATGATTTTAGAGCTTTTTAATGGCAATTCCAAAGCCAGAAATAGTCAACATTCAATTACCAAAACATTGAACATATTCCATTGTCTCTGTCAGGTCCACATTGGGTAGACATCAATAGAAAAATAGGAAATAATACAATATTTCAGTTGTGTATATTACTTAGTTTTTATTTGATTACTTTATTATTTTTCATTCTTTAAAGTAGTCATCTCATCTCTGCTCAGGCCGTAGCAGTCAGCCAGCCAGGCCATCTAACGTTATGTGCTCCCCAGACTGTACTGTCTTTAGTCATCCTAATTAGCTAGCCTAAGTATGCTGCAGAGCTGTCTGACGAAATCATTTGACTAGTTCTACAAAGTAGATAAGGTATACTTTCACAAACTATCTCTGTCCCTCTCGTCTTGTGTTGTGTACATTACTCTCTCATGCGGTCTATGCAGTCTGTGTGTATCTAACCTAACGTAGCAGGCGTAAAAGCGTATCCGTCCAGAGATCTGTATACAATGACGAGATGCTCATGTCTATGCCCTAACAATGGGAGTCGTTGTCCCAAAGGCGACAAGCTTAGGTCCAAAATAAGCCCAAAGAAACACATTGGCTTATCTTGGACAGATTGTGGCGAGAGTGAAACCTCTCGCTTCGCTTCGCCTCTCCTCTCTGATCAATCTTGATCAGTCTCTGAGCCGGAAAAAACTGCCGCAATGGATTATGGTCATTGTAGTTAATTACCACGTTTCAGCGCTGAACTAGGTTGAATATTTGCTTACTGAAAACTACAACTCCCTTCAGCCCAGTGTCCCATAGTTCTTGACTTGATTTCTCAGATTTCTCTCGTGAATTATTTGATTTCTCTCTAGAGAAACAGCGCGTTGGGCTCACAAAAAAACCAAACTAAATGGAATTCAAGTAATTGAACCGAAGTCAGTCAATTAGTTGTTTAATAACCGAAAAAAACTAAATGTCAGTTAATCGCTCAGGACAATTTTAGTATACAGACTGTAATATAATCCCTAAACACTTTCCACACAGAGATAGACTGAGGACGGTAAGTGCTCAAGGTGTATAAAAACACACAGAAAAAAAACAATTATCTACTCTCAGCCAATTTCCTAGTGTTTCACTTAATATCCATTGTGTTCCAAACACTTTGGAATTAAGACTTTTTACACAACAGCGATTTTTAATTAACTATGGATTGGAGTGGGTGAGCAGTAATGAGAGAGAACTGAGCAGGTCTGAAAAGGGGAGAGAAAAATGTTCTTGATTAGTTTTTATAAGTAAATTAGGAGTACATTTGGATTTGTTCCTGACGTTTTGAGGACTGGGTAGTCATTTTATTTCTCAGCTATATTACATTGCTCTAATTCATTACAAACAACCGGGGAGCTTCAGCCTATCTTCTGTCTCTTCCCATCTGTTGACACACCCATATAATCATAAAGTTACTGAATATATTCTGCTCTACCACCAGAACATATAATTGCATGACCATACTGACCAACATGCATTGAAGTTTCTTTCAAAATCTCAAGTCTATTTAGTCTATTTAAACTGGTATAGCCCTACATACCCTGACAAAGGTGCTTAATTGGGTTCACCTACTTTTAAACAAGGTGAGTTTCAATAATGAACCAGGAAATTGCTGCCTGTAGGAACTGGAAGTTCCTTAAAAAATAATAATCCTGAAATAGAAAATGCACACAAGGCCAATGTGAATGCTAATGCTTTCTCTTCTTATAATAAGTAAACTTCCTCCTAATAAGGAGATGAAAGACAGTTTATGTGTTCTACATGGTACTGGCATTAAACTCTTCTTGTGGATTGAAGAGCTTTCAGTGCAGCCTTCCTTCCTGTCTGGACAACCATGGAGATTCCTTTCCACGGCTGTGACCTCATTTTCCGCTACAATTTGCTGATGATATTTCATGTAAAGCCTAACTGAGGAAAGAGGGTTGGTATAAAACTTTCAACATGCACTACGACTAATGTGAACTGTCACGAGCGCTGTCTGCCATTAAATACGACAGGCCCCTCTGTAGCGCTGCCACCCATCCCAGTTAAATGCCATCTGGCATCACGCTGCATTAGTGACGCCACATTAAACCAGGTAGGACATGAATCTTTCACAGCTCCAGGTGTACTGTGGAATGTGCAGCTCTGGTCTGGCAACACACTGACTCTATGGCCTTTTACTCTCTGCAACAAAACTACCCTGCACATTTTATTAACCTGCTAACTTGGATAATATGTCTCCACTCAGACCAATGATTATCATACAGGACACATCCAGTACAGTATACAACCCTGGGTGATACTTACAGGGAGAGAAACAGTCCACTGTGATACAGAGCATCTGACCTGGAAAACATGTCAACTCAGCTCCACTTTAAGACCTTGTAGTAGTACCCACTGGTGACTGTACTGTATCTGCCACCAGGAGAGGAATAGAGTTTAGAGGCAGGGGAGAGAGGAGAGAAACCCCAAAGCATTCATTTCATCACTAGCAGTAAGACTCACGGCGATGTCGATTTAAGTAAAACAAAGAGCCATTTCCCCTCCACCTCTGGAGTAGTGACAGCCAGAGAGCGAGCGAGAGAGACCAGAGAGAGAACCAGAGAGAGAGACCAGAGAGAGAACCAGAGAGAGAGACCAGAGAGAGAACCAGAGAGAGAGACCAGATAGACCAGAGAGATACTTTTGTCTTACTTTAATGAGACTGAGAGAGAGAGAGCTCTAAGCCAGTAAAGTCAAGTCTCTTTATGGCCCCGCCTCTCCTCTCCTCTCCTCTCCTCTCCTCTCCTCTCCTCTCCTCTCCTCTCCTCTCCTCTCCTCTCCTCTCCTCTCCTCTCCTCTCCTCTCCTCTCCTCTGGTCTGTCTGCTCTCTGGTCCAGCTGCTCTGCTCCCATTAGAACCTCTCCTCTCTGGCAGGTGTCACCCTGCACCAGATGCATGGCCTGTCTCCCAGAGCCCTTCCTGTTCTATCATTAAGCCATCGACGCTGCATCACTGTGGACAGAGAGAAAACAGGCTATGGCAGGAATAATCCTGCTGCTAACCAGTCCAGATGAATAATACATGTTCCTGCCAGACAAATGTTAAACAAAGCAGGAGCAGACAACCAACAGGCCACTACCGCAGGAGAGAGATGGAGAAAGAGAAAGAGGGAGAGAGAGACCAGAGGGAAAGAGTGGGATGGACTCCTCCTCGTCAGCCTTAACTCAGCAGAAAGGTGCTCTCTCTTCTCTCCTCTTCTCTTTGTGCTGAGTTCAACCTTGTTAGGATAGAGAGGTGGGTCCTCAGGGCTGACTCCTCCTATCTGTTAGGATAGAGAGGTGGGTCCTCAGGGCTGACTCCTCCTATCTGTTAGGATAGAGAGGTGGGTCCTCAGGGCTGACTCCTCCTACATGTTTGAGTTGAGCAGGATGGATAATATCCTTCTCAATCAACTACTTGTCTGTTTTTTTCTCTGCTGCTAGAACAGTATGTTCTCTCTCTCTGAGTCAGCCAACTCTGCCTGCCATACCCTCAAGCTCCACGGTAGAGTTGGGACCAACACACCACAACACCACCATCAGCGATGGGAGTATGGGACAGGAATATACTAGTGGTACTAAGTTACCAACACAGGCAGGTACCAGACCTGGGTTCAAATAGTAATTGGAATCATTTCAAATGCTTTAGTTTTGCTTGATTGAGCTTGCCTTGCTGTATATAGCCATGTTATTTTGACTCATTATTATTATTCGTTATTCACTGTGTATTTATCCCTCGTGTCACTTAGTCTTTTTTTCTCTTGATCTTTAACTCTATATTGTTGAAAAAAGGAACCGTAAGTAAGCATTTCAATGTTAGTCCACACCTGTTGTTTACAAAGCATGTGACAAATAAAATATGATTTGATTTGACTGCCTGGCGCAATGGAACCAATAGAAGTGTCCCAAAAGTGCAAACCACACCCATCTGGCACCAGGCAGGCTCAATCAAACGCAAAAAAAAAAGTATTAGAAAGATTTAAAATACTATCTGAACCAGATGTGGGAAAAACACACCACACCAGCGATGGGGAGATGGGAGATGGAAAGGAATACAGTAGTAGTACTAACACAGGTAGGTACACATGTACAGGAAGCCCTGCGTTCCCAACTGTCAACCGCATGCAGCATTTTAATGGAGCTGCTCAGAGCGCCGAATCTAATTAACAAAGTCGTGTTTGACTAACACTGATAGACACCATTATTGTAATCACTGTCAGTTGTCATCTGAGAAACTAATTAAAAATCCTATTAGTTAAACTAGCAAGTAGCTAGTGCAGTGAAGTCACTTCAGAACAGAGATTAGCTTTTTGCATCGCATGAGGCTGCCAAACTGTAGGCTAAAAACTGAGCCAAGTGGATCCTCCAGTCCTTCAGACCTTAACCCTGGTTGTTACCCAAAATGGCACCCTATTCCCTATATATTATAGTGCACTTCCTTCGACCAAAGCTGGTCAAAACGAGTGCACTACAGTATATAGGGAATAGGGTGCTATTTGGGACACCTCCCCCCTCCTCACTGTTGTCCACTCTTGTTGCATGTAGAGTACACTATTAAACACGCCTACAGTGCACCATGTTGGGATCTGAGTCAAGGGGAGTTTTATCAAAGCTGAAATCAAAGCCACAACTGAGAGAGGAGAGGAGAAGAGAGGGATATTTTAATTTAAAGAAGATATCAGATCAAATGGGTAAATGTAGTGAGCATAATTGGAGTAGAGATGCATTATTTAAAAAGGGAATGGGTGAGTAGGACAGGAGAACTGCCATGCACTGTACCGGAGCAGAGCTTATGCTTTTTTCTTAACACTGCCTTTCTATGTTCCTTTGACATGTGTTGGGGAGTAGTGAACTTCGTGTAGTTCAACTAGTAATTTAATTCCATTTTGCTATAAGCTTGGTGGTAGTTGAATTCAAATCTTGGTGATGCTTTCAGTAGTTAATAACTTTTTTTTTGCCAGGTAGTGGTGTAGCTCAGTGGTTCCCAAACTGTTGGGTCGGCAGGAGGGACGCGTGGTCCCCCCCCCCCCCTCCCCACAAAAATGTGATAATCAATATACCTTTATATACCTTTACATACATCTAACACTCTTGATGTCTGGAATAATCAAGTCTAATTTATGCAGGAGTTGCTAATGCAAGATCACATGTGGTAAAGCACCATCCCAGAGTGTGCCCCTATTGCACCTCTGCATGGCGGATGGCGGCCCTAGTACCCCATTTAAAATATAGCCAATCCATACTTCCAGCAGCTTCCAGCACCACGGGGGACACACGGTGGGGATGGCCCTGCAAGCCCATAAAAGAAATGTCAGGCATTAGGAGTTATCTATGGCTCTGTTGTGCAGAGGTGGCCAAGTGCACCAACTAGCCCCGTATTGCCGTAGCCATGATTTGTCATCTGGGCCGGGTAACAAATGGGCCCATCTCGGAGACAAGGCATATTCATCAGTCTCAGGCAGGCAGAGGTAGCACTGGGCAGAGCTGGGCTGCAAACACAACACAACTCTCCCCCCAGTTTTACTGTTTCACTGGAATACACACACAGATATTAGACAAACATACTACATCACTGAAACGAAAGGGATGAAATGCTAAATGAGCAATATGCTACAGTACCAGTAAAAGTTTGGACACAGCTACTCATTCAAGGGTTTTTCTTTATTTTTACTATTTTCTACATTGTAGAATACTAGTGAAGACATCAAAACTATGAAATAACACAAATGGAAATCATGCAGTAACTAATAAAAGTGTTAAACAAATCAAAATATATTTTATATTTTAGAGTAGCCACCCTTTGCCTTGATGACAGCTTTGCACACTCTTGGCATTCTCTCAACCAGCTTCATGAGGAATGCTTTTCCAACAGTCTTGAAGGAGTTCCCACATATGCTGAGCACTTGTTGGCTGCTTTTCCTTCACTCTGCGGTCCAACTCATCCCAAACCATCTCAACTGGGTTGAGGTTGGGTGATTGTGGAGGCCAGGTCATCTGATGCAGCACTCCATCACTCTCCTTGGTTAAATAGCCCTTACACAGCCTGGAGGTGTGTTTGGGTCATTGTCCTGTTGAAAAATTGCTACAGAATGCTGTGGTTGCCATGCTGGTTAAGTGTGCCTTGAATTCTAAATAAATCAGTGTCAGCACCCCCACACCATCACACCTCCTCCTCCATGCTTCACGGTGGGAACCACACATGCAGAGATTATCCGTTCACCTACTCTGCATCTCACAAAGACATGGCGGTTGGAACCAAAAATCTCACATTTGGACTCATCAGACCAAAGGACAGATTTCCACCGGTCTAATGTCCATTGCTCATGTTTCATGGCCCAAGCAAGTCTCTTCTTATTGGTGTCCTTTAGTAGTGGTTTCTTTGCAGCAATTCTACCATGAAGGCCTGATTCACGTGGTCTCCTCTGTTGATGTTGAGATGTGTCTGTTACTTGAACTATGTGAAGGATTTATTTGGGCTGCAATTTCTGAGGCTGGTAACTCTAATGAACTTATCCTCTGCAGCAGAGGTAACTCTGGGTCTTCCATTCCTGTGGCGGTCCTCATGAGAACCAGTTTCATCATAGCGCTTGATGGTTTTTGCGACTGCACTTGAAGAAACTTTCAAAGTTCTTGATGTCTTAAAGTAATGATGGACTGTCATTTCTCTTTGCTTATTTGAGCTGTTCTTGCCATAATATGGACTTGGTCTTTCACCAAATAGGGCAATCTTGCGTACACCACCAATACCTTGTCACAACATAACTGATTGGCTCAAACGCATTAAGAAAGAAAGATATTCCACAAATTAACAAGGCACACCTGTTAATTGAAATGCATTCCAACTACCTCATGAAGCTGGTTGAGAGAATGCCAAGAGTGTGCAAAGCTGTCGTCAAGGCAAAGGGTGGCCATTTGAAGAATCTCAAATATAAAACTATATTTTGATTTGTTTAACACTTTTTTGGTTCCTACATGATTCCATGTGTTATTTCCGAGTTTTGATGTCTTCACTATTATTCTAAAATGTAGAAAATAGTAAAAAAAATAAAGAACCCTGGAATGAGTAGGTGTCCAAACTTTTGACTGGTACTGTACAAATCTTACATAATGTACAGTATGTCATCATAATGTCTTTATAGACTACGGTGATCTAGCAGTCTAAACCGCTGCCTCCATGTCACATATACCGCTACAGCATGGGTTTGAATCTGGCCCACTGGTATTCAAGCAAAACTCTTTTCCGCTGTCTCCTCTATCCAATATAGCATACAATACAAAAACATATACTGTACCTTTAAAGAAACAAACCATGTATCACGTTTCAGGAGAAGAACCAGATGCAGACAGTGTCGAAGTAACAAAAGTTTATTACAAAAGCAGGTGGCAGGCAAACGACAGGTCAAGGGCAGGCAGGGGTCAGTAATCCAGATCAGAGTCCAAAAGGTACAGAACGGCAGGCAGTCTCAGGGTCAGGGCAGGCAAAGGTCAATAATCCAGGGTGGTGTGACAAGGTACAGAATGGCAGGCAGAATGGTCAAAACCAGGAAAACAGGAACTTAAGCAAGACAGGAGCAAGGGGAAAACCGCTGGTAGGCTTGACGAGACAAAACAAACTGGCAACAGTCAAACTGAGAACACAGGTATAAATACACTGGGGATAATGGGGAAGATGGGCAACACCTGGAGGGGGTGGAGACAATCACAAAGACAGCTGAAACAGATCAGGGTGTGACACCATGTGCATGTGATGCGTGAGGCACAGCTGGGGTATCATGCTGCACAAAAGCCTTCTCATAAAAAGGACATGACTGTGTACTTGTGTGAACCATTGTTGATCTACACAAAAGGCGTAATCAACTACCCTTGATGAACAGAGGTATAACACAACACACTTGTAAACCATAGTAAAAAGGCATGAGTGGCTTGTCAGTCCTCTGTTGTTCAGTATTTGTTCTCTCTGGCTTTTTCTGTACCTAAACCACAGTAAACCATAGTACAGGCCTGATTAGTGACTTCATTTGTCCACTGTTGTCCAGACAGAGTGGTCAACAAAATAATATTTTCTCTCTGTCTTTTTCTGTCCTGTTTTCGTCTACGGTTCTGTTGTGTTTGGACGTGGTGCTCTTAACTCTGCCAGGATTGGCATTAGCAGCTGGACTGGATTCACCACACAAAGAACCACTGCTGTTTGTAATTAGCTCCATATTACACAATTAGAGTCACTCCCAAGCCCTCCCTTTTTCTTGTTGTTTGTTCAGAGTAAACGAGGCAACAGGATGGGCAGAACAGCTCCTTTAGTTCCCATGTAATTTCATTTGTGAGATATAATTGCCGGTTATGCAGACGATGTGTTCAGAACCTTCTGTAAGCTTACAAGTAGTCTCCTTGAGGGTATACTGCTGAAGCTACATAGCATACCGTAGGGAACACACTTCTAAAACCTCATCTGAAACTGAAAATAGCAGTCATTTAGCCGCCAAAGAAATCCATTACAAAGTTCCAACAATTGACATTATACCCCCACTAGATAAATTGCATTCTTTAAAGGGCTATGACAGTGTTGAATTGAACTGCCTCACAATTGCAGTGAATGGGTAGAATAATTGCCATGGATCCTTCAACGCGGACAAGAGAATAGAAAATGACAGAAAAAGAAAACTTTCAGTTTGTCTGGGCGTATTCTTCCACCCCTGTATTTTTGTAAAGGATTGGGGAATCGATCCACAGCGGTGATATGATAATTGCAATGGTCTCCCTCTAGTCTGAATGCTTTCAGAGAGATAACCCATCCTAATTTATAGAGCGATAGAGGAGGTCCAATCTTGTTAGGATGGAGAGGAGGGGGGAGAGGAAGGAGTAGGAGAGGATAAGGGGAGAGAGAGGAGGAGGAGGAGGAGTAGAGGAGGGGGGTATCTGTCTTAAGCCAGGCGGATAAAAGTGCTCTGTTCTGGGGTCAGGTTCTCAGGCCTGCTAGAGGATCAGATCACTACTCACTGAATGGGACTGGATGAGTTGCTCTATCTGGGTGGTCACTGGGACACTGTTATCACACAACTTCCTCATTGGAAACGGAGCAGTTAGATCCAAGTCTCATAAGTACACTGTTATCACACACAGCTATTCATTATTGGATTTTTGCTGTGATGGAAACAGGTCCAGTAGCATCATATACTGCCCTCAAACACAACTCTGGACCTCGAAGCCAGTTCCACTGCTTGTTTTCATTGTTCCCCTCTAATCAGGGACTGATTTACAGTGAGGGAAAAAATATTTGATCCCCTGCTGATTTTGTACGTTTGCCCACTGACAAAGACATGATCAGTCTATAATTTTAATGGTAGGTTTATTTGAACCGTGAGAGACAGAATAACAACAAAAAAATCCACACAAAAAACGCATGTCAAAAATGTTATGAATTGATTTGCATTTTAATGAGGGAAATAAGTATTTGACCCCTCTGCAAAACATGACTTAGTACTTGGTGGCAAAACCCTTGTTGGCAATCACAGAGGTCAGACGTTTCTTGTAGTAGGCCACCGGGTTTGCACACATCTCAGGAGGGATTTTGTCCCACTCCTCTTTGCAGATCTTCTCCAAGTCATTAAGGTTTCGAGCCTGACGTTTGGCAACTCGAACCTTCAGCTCCCTCCACAGATTTTCTATGGGATTAAGGTCTGGAGACTGGCTAGGCCACTTCAGGACCTTAATGTGCTTCTTCTTGAGCCACTCCTTTGTTGCCTTGGCCGTGTGTTTTGGGTCATTGTCATGCTGGAATACCCATCCACGACCCATTTTCAATGCCCTGGCTGAGGGAAGGAGGTTCTCACCCGAGATTTGACGGTACATGGCCCCGTCCATCGTCCCTTTGATGTGGTGAAGTTGTCCTGTCCCCTTAGCAGAAAAACACCCCACAAAGCATAATGTTTCCACCTCCATGTTTGATGGTGGGGATGGTGTTCTTGGGGTCATAGGCAGCATTCCTCCACCTCCAAACACGGAGAGTTGAGTTGATGCCAAAGAGCTCGATTTTGGTCTCATCTGACCACAACACTTTCACCCAGTTCTCCTCTGAATCATTCAGATGTTCATTGGCAAATTCAGACGGCCCTGTATATGTGCTTTCTTGAGCAGGTGGACCTTGCGGGCGCTGCATGATTTCAGTCCTTCACGGCGTAGTGTGTTACCAATTGTTTTCTTGGTGACTATGGTCCCAGCTGCCTTGAGATCATTGACAAGATCCTCCCGTGTAGTTCTGGGCTGATTCCTCACCGTTCTCATGATCATTGCAACTCCACGAGGTGAGATCTTGCATGGAGCCCCAGGCCGAGGGAGTTTGACAGTTATTTTGTGTTTCTTCCATTTGCGAATAATCGCACCAACTGTTGTCACCTTCTCACCAAGCTGCTTGGCGATGGTCTTGTAGCCCATTCCAGCCTTGTGTAGGTCTACAATCTTGTCCCTGACATCCTTGGAGAGCTATTTGGTCTTGGCCATGGTGGAGAGTTTGGAATCTGATTGATTGATTGCTTCTGTGGACAGGTGTCTTTTATACAGGTAACAAACTGAGATTAGGAGCACTCCCTTTAAGAGTGTGCTCCTAATCTCAGCTCGTGACCTGTATAAAAGACACCTGGGAGCCAGAAATCCTTCTGATTGAGAGGGGGTCAAATACTTATTTCCCTCATTAAAATGCAAATCAATTTATAACATTTTTGACATGCGTTTTTCTGGATTTTTTTTTTTTATTCTGTCTCTCACTGTTCAAATAAACCTACCATTAAAATTATAGACTGATCATTTCTTTGTCAGTGGGCAAACGTACAAAATCAGCAGGGGATCAAATACTTTTTTCCCTCACTGTAGACCTAGGACACCAGGTGGATGCAATTCATTATTAAGGTAGAAAATAAAATCAGCAGGCTCCGGAACTCATAGGGTAAGAGTTGAATACCCCTGATATACTGTATAGCCCAGCAATAAAACAAAATAATTATATCCCAATGCCCCAGGGCAGTGATTGGGGACATTGCCCTGTGTAGTGTGCTGTCTTTCGGATGGGCCTTAAAAACGGCTTTCCTGACTCGCTGTGGTCATAAAGATCCCATGGCACTTATTTTAAGAGTAGGGGTGTTAACCTTGGTGTCCTAGCTAAATTCCCAATCTGGGGCCCTCATATCATCATGGCCACCTAATCACCCCCAGCATCCAATTGGCTCATTCATCCCCCCTTCTCTCCCCTGTAACTATTCCCCAGGCCATTGCTGTAAATTAGAATGTGTTGTCAGTCAACTTACCTGGTAAAATAAGGGTAAAATAAAAATATTTGATACACTGCCGATTTTGCAGGTTTTCCTACTTACAAAGCATGTAGAGGTCTGTAATTTTGATCATAGGTACACTTCAACTGTGAGAGCCGGAATCTAAAAAAATCCAGAAAATCACATTGTATGATTTTTAAGTAATTAATTTGCATTTTATTGCATGACATAAGTATTTGATCACCTACCAACCAGTAAGAATTCCGGCTCTCACAGACCTGTTAGTTTTTCTTTAAGAAGCCCTCCTGTTCTCCACTCATTACCTGTATTAACTGCACCTGTTTGAACTCGTTACCTGTATAAAAGACACCTGTTCACACACTCAATCAAACAGACTCCAAGCTCTCCACAATGGCCAAGACCAGAGAGCTGTGTAAGGACATCAGGGATAAAATTGTAGACCTGCACAAGGCTGGGATGGGCTACAGGACAATAGGCAAGCAGCTTGGTGAGAAGCAACAACTGTTGGCTCAATTATTAGAAAAAGGAATAAGTTCAAGATGACGGTCAATCACCCTCGGTCTGGGGCTCCATGCAAGATCTCTACACGGCAGGACCTGGTCAATGACCTGAAGAGAGCTGGGACCACAGTCTCAAAGAAAACCATTAGTAACACACTACGCTGTCATGGATTAAAATCCTGCAGCGCACGCAAGGTCCTCCTGCTCAAGCCAGCGCATGTCCAGGCCCGTCTGAAGTTTGCCAATGACCATCTGGATGATCCAGAGGAGGAATGGGAGAAGGTCATGTGGTCTGATGAGACAAAAATAGAGCTTTTTGGTCTAAACTCCACTCGCCGTGTTTGGAGGAAGAAGAAGGATGAGTACAACCCCAAGAACACCATCCCAACCGTGAAGCATGGAGGTGGAAACATCATTCTTTGGGGATGCTTTTCTGCAAAGGGGTCAGGACGACTGCACCATATTGAGGGGAGGATGGATGGGGCCATGTATCGCGAGATCTTGGCCAACAACCTCCTTCCCTCAGTAAGAGCATTGAAGATGGGTCGTGGCTGGGTCTTCCAGCATGACAACGACCCGAAACACACAGCCAGGGCAACTAAGGAGTGGCTCCGTAAGAAGCATCTCAAGGTCCTGGAGTGGCCTAGCCAGTCTCCAGACCTGAACCCAATCAAAAATCTTTGGAGGGAGCTGAAAGTCCGTATTGCCCAGCGACAGCCCCGAAACCTGAAGGATCTGGAGAAGGTCTGTATGGAGGAGTGGGCCAAAATCCCTGCTGCAGTTAGTGCAAACCTGGTCAAGACCTACACGAAACGTATGATCTCTGTAATTGCAAACAAAAATTTCTGTACCAAATATTAAGTTCTGCTTTTCTGATGTATCAAATACTTATGTCATGCAATAAAATGCAAATTAATTACTTAAAAATCATTGTGATGTTCTGGATTTTTGTTTTAGATTCCGTCTCTCACAGTTGAAGTGTACTACCTATGATAAAAATTACAGACCTCTACATGCTTTGTAAGTAGGAAAACCTGCAAAATCGGCAGTGTATCAAATACTTGTTCTCCCCACTGTATATGCCATTAGCAGACACTTTTATCCAGCGCGGATAGTCATGCGTGCATTCATTTTCCATATAGGTAAATCCAAGTATAATCAACTGAGAAAAACAGTACAGTGTCAAGTCCACTTACTCCAGTCCATAGTCCAGTTACATGTAACGCTAAGCATGTACAGCGAACAGTCAGTGCATTCTAAAGGCTCTAAAAGCAGGAGGCATTCTCTGTGATGTCCATAGAAGCCTATATAATATATAAGGTACAGACAGTAGTATATAATTTATAAGGTACAGACAGTAGTGTACTACCTATTAAGAGCAGTAACCCCAGTCCATAGTTGTACAGTAAGGCTGTAAGAGCAGGTACGACATTCTCTATTAGTTTCATAGAAGCCTTTTATAATGTACAGTAGCATGCTATAGGACCAAGAGCATGGAGTAGTGCTTCACTTTAATGAGCCCAGGGCTATATTTAGAATCCACTTACGTTCACAGCACACTGGCATGGCTGACAGAGGTAGGACTTCTGGTAATGATGCAAATAATAAAGCGGGAAATGTGCCCATAATGATTGATTAATTGCAGTGCCATTTGGAAGAGTTTCAAGGCTAATTTCCATGGTAACTACCCCAACTGACGATGCACTTTAAAATTCCGTGGGGATAATGGAAGACCACGAAACACAGAGAAAATGGTTCAAGTCAAATTAGGTGGAGACAAATATATCTAAAACATGAACTTACGTAGACTTCTCCATAACCAGTCAAAACAGACAGGGAGTCAAACAGGTTCAGTACAAAGAAACTAACCTGTAAGGCAGGCCTAGGTCCCAAAAGTGCTAGCTCATTGCTCCTGAATTACATGACTAATATGCTGTCCTGTCTCAACCTAACGACTTTAGTGATGTTGTTTACTGAAGTTTGAGGACGAAAGCCGGGGACTTTGTGCATCATCTTCATCTGAGAGAGTAGCTCATCTGCTAGCCATAGTCTGGAATCATTTGTTGTGATGGAGACAGCAGCGACGGTGACAGAGTATGTGTGTGTGTGTGTGTGTGTGTGTGTGTGTGTGTGTGTGTGTGTGTGTGTGTGTAAGGTTTGGCGAGGGCAGCTCCAATCGGTCGTCTCAGGTGTCCAAAATGAGCGATGGTTCGGCCTCAAGCACGGCCATCAATCACGGAGGACATTTCTCTTAAGGATGCGGTCATGTCAAGTCGGTGTGCGTGTGTGTTAAGGTAGAGAGTTATGCTGAGCAGAGGGCCAGGAGGGCAGCCAGAGACACCAGACAGCACCCTGGGGAGTACAACACGTCAGTTTCCAGGGAAACGGGGAGAAATACAGCTACAGAGCTACGGAACAAAGACAGCTTCTTTCATTGACCTTTACCTTTCATTGACTGATACTTACAAAAGAGCCTGGCGTCATGGGGAGGCAAAGTAACTTTGGATGGAGTTAACTTCACTTAAGTAATTAGGGATGCTGTGTTGTTTATGGTTGGATCTTAGAGGTAGTGACGAACGGCCTGCATAGGGCTCTGGTCAAAAGTAGTGCATTATGTGGGGAATAGGGTGCCATTTAAGATGCAGCCGGGGTGTGTGTCTGATCTCTTGCCTTGTTGCCCAGAGCAGTAGTTGATCTGCAGTGTGGTCAAGGTGGGCCAGATAGATAACCTTATCCTTGGAGGGACCTGGGACTTAGCCAGTCTAAGCAGGGCTGGCTGGCACTCTCCTATTAGTATGTAATGGCAAGGTTGGCAAGGTTGACCCTGACACACACACACTCACACACGTTGCACGCACACACACTTGCACGTAGACACACACACATGCACACACACCGCCAGCTAACTCTGCAGCGTATGGAGGATAGAGAGGCTACTCCATATAAACATCATACAGTGTGTGTGTGTGTGTGTGTGTGTGTGTGTGTGTGTGTGTGTGTGTGTGTGTGTGTGTGTGTGTGTGTGTGTGTGTGTGTGTGTGTGTGTGTGTGTGTGCGTGTGTGTTCTTCTGATAGATACTGTATTAGAAATCCGTCTTGAGTGAAAATAAAAATGATGTGGGATTGTGTGATTCAATACAATGCCAAAATGAGAACTTCAGAAAGAAAGACACCACTGTGGCTATCAGAACTGATGGAGAATTCTCATCATTTAATAGATTCTGTGACCTCCTGCCCTCTATCTCTGAGCCAGAAAGAAAACACACGCACGCACACACACACACACACACACACACACGCACGCAAAGGAAACACTCTGACGATCACAGACAGCTTCAAGATGTTCAGTGTCTGGAAGAAGTACTAAAAACCACATAATACACTGGAACATTTCAAGTACTTCCAAGAACTTACGTAACCGTACTTTGGTATTATACTGTATGTAAATGATGAATATTATTTGCCAAGGCTATTAGCTGAAGAGGCTTCAATGAGGCTTCCATTTATTTCAGACGTGGAATGCTGCTATTGACCTGCAGAGCAAGAGAGTGATGCAGGCAGCCAATATCTGTCAGAGGAAGTTTCACTGACGAGTGACAGATTCTGGAAGGACTCTCTCTCGCACAAACTGAACTTCAACAGTAAGGTTGGCCGCTTATGAGTATCGACAGGCGCGCTGGGAGGACGCGGACAAGACGATTGATTTTGCCTTAAACGTTTTCGCCGAAGCAAGAAAAGCCTGTCGGTTTGGGAGAGGCGGGGAAGCAGGCGGGTGGCAGGGACAAAGAGTACATCACTCTCTCTTTTGCCTGCTCCAATCAATCCCATCTCCATCCACTCTCCCAGGAGGGGAGTGTGTGGCTTTTCTCCCCCCTGAAGAAAGGCAGCCTTGCAGAGGCAGCAGAAATACTGGCCAAGGACGTCTTCGTCTTATCTCCGCAGGCTAAGCCGACTCCGGTCCGGTTTCCGCCCCCACAGTTCGAGATCACAGCGTGCCTAAGTCAATGAGGTTTTATCCCTGGCCCCTGTGACACTCCGGTTCCTACTCCACTTCACAAAGCACTTCTACAAGACAATGGCGTTCACAATCCATTATGAATACAGTGGGCTACTGTGTGGGTTGGATTGTCCGTTGAAGCGTAGTGCCATGTGGAACTGAAATTAGTTTGTGTTTTATTGACCATGAGAGAGAGACTCCCGAGCCATCCTTAAAGCTTTTGATGAGGGTACTGAAATGTTCCCTGTACAATCACATTGGGACAGAAAAACTATAATTATACTGAATGGTGAACGCTGCATTGTGACTTAAGTTTAAAAAATAAATAAAAGGGTATGTTTGATTAATGGATCAGCAAAGGTGAAGAGCATATTTTTTTAATATGTTAAGGGAACACATACACTGAGTGGACAAAACATTAAGAACACCTTCCTAATATTAAGTTGCAACTTCCCCCCCCACACACACACACTTTTGCCTTCAATCCGTCGGGGCATGGACTCTACAAGGTGTCGAAAGCATTCCACAGGGATGCTGGCCCATGTTGACTCCAATACTTCCCACAGTTGTTTCAAGTTGGCTGGGTGTCCTTTGGGTGATGGACCATTCTTGATAAACAGGGAAACTATTGAGGGTGAAAAACCCAGTTCTTGATACACTCAAACCAGTGCGCCTGGCACCTACTACCATACCCTGTTCAAAGGCACTTAAATATTTTGTCTTGCCCATTCACCCTCTGAATGGCACACATACACAATTCATGTTCTTAACGTTTTGTACACTCAATGTACAGTAGACAGATCAATGGAGCCCGAGTTGAATTAACATATTTTAGTCGAGGCATTTAGTCTGGCCAAATAAAACAGGGACATTGCTTTGATTCGGCTTACTTCAAATTGATCCTTAAAGCTGATCCTGAGCCCAAAAAGCTTAGTCTACATTAGACACGTCCTGTGCAGCATAAGTCTTTAAGACAATGGATTTTCCTCTTACCTTGATTCTATTTATTGCTAAGGTACCGTAATCGAGGCATTTTAAGGCGATTTACAACACCATTCGGAGGTCGTAATTAGCTTAGCTTGGTGGATAATTAACACATAACATTAAAGAGGGGTCCTAAACCCACCTGTCTTGTTAGGGGAAGAAATACAGATATCGGTCCTCTGTAGGTCAGTTGGTAGAGCATGGTGCTTGCAACGCCCAGACAGTGGGTTTGATTCCCGGGACCATCCGTATGTGAAAGTATGCACGCATGACTGTAAAGCCCTATTCGCACAGGACTAGTATCACTAGAGAACGTTGGTTATGTAATTATTACTCCAGAATGTCCGTTATTCCAGAGGACGATTCGGATATAATTATTATTATTATTATTTTTTTTTTTGTTAACTTCATTTCCAAACGTTTAGGTCAGTTGTATGCAGCTTTGCAATTTATTAACATCAAGGGTTGCATTAAATAGGCGCAATATTTTTTACTGATGCATTTGGCAATATTTAATTCATCCGCACAAAACATATAAACAAAAGCATTTCTCTGTGAAAGTTGATACATGTAGGCCATTCATATATAGCTTAAGCGCAGCACTTCGTTCAATTGATCGAATCAGTTGTTGTGTTCTTTCTCAAACCGCGAACAACACCTGTCAAACTCACGACATTTCTCTCAAAACACAGGGATGTCGATTCGCACAGGACTAGTATTATCAGAGGACTTTGGAGTTAGTCAAAAACAGTAGTTTATTCTGGCTGGAATTGTTACTCTCCTGCCATGTAAAAATGACTGCCATGGCAGATTCAGACAGGACTAAAATTACAGATGTGGTGTTTTGTGCTTGTCCAGATAATTACATTACCTGACCTCCCCCAGTTAAACTAATCCCATCTGAATAGGGCTTTAGTTGCTTTGGATAAAAGCGTCTGCTAAATGACCTATATCATTATATTAGGTATGGACCCCAAATGTAGTAGACAAGATACAGTAGATACCTATACATTTGGGGTTGACTGACACTTCTATCGCCGGTGGGGTCAATTCCATCTAAATCCCAGTCAATTCAGTCATTGAATTGCGTTCCTCTGTAGTAATTCTAGGTTCAATGCAACACACCAGATAAATAAGTCTGAACACTCCCAAAACAACTTTTAAAAGGGTGTTTGATTTATTTTCAGTTGAAATTAAGTGGTTGACGCTACTGTACCCATGTCAAGGTTTTCTGGGAAAAGTGAAGAGATTGTAATAATTATACAGCCCTTAATTAAAGTGGCTGTTTGAATATGGAAGGGTAGGGAATGGAGAGGTCCAGAGGGAACTTCAGTAATGTAAAGTAACTTTCTACATTTGATTGAAATACAGGACGGTAGATAAATGAATCATTCAATAATATTCCAAGGACACACCCTTCTGAATTGGCAGAGAATATGTTTAGCTTGCATTCATTCTCTGTTCTCTCGTCACACACAGAACGGAACAAGTGGTAATTATTCATTGTCAGTCTGATACGGCGTGCTAGACTGTGTGAGAGGGAGAGAGAGAGAGAGTGAGAGAGAGGGAAGGAGGGAGAGAGTGTGTGTGTGTTTATGTGTGTGAGAGAGAGAGTATTTGTGTGCGTGTGTGTTCATGCGTGCATGCATGGTCTCAAGGGCTCCCTGTTGGCTTCCAATCTCATAAAGCCTGTTTTGGTTTATCCAAAAGGCAGAGTAAAAATGTTCAGTAATTACCCCCAAATATAGCTCCCTAAAGGTAAATCCCACATCCACAAATCCCAGAACGTAGCTTTAGCCAAAAGCTAAAACAACTCTACCGCTGAGCTGCCGTGACCCCTCACCACTCAGCTCTCCCAAAAGGCAACAGAGAATTACATTTCTGTATTTTATGCTACACCCCATTGGCTTTAAGTGCCTCCGGGACTTCCATCACTAGCATCTGTTGAGACAAGGTGTCAGTTGGATCTATGGGGAGGGTTAGAGAAGAGAATTGGGGATGAAATCTAAAGTGCAGGCTTGTGTTTCGCAGGTTAGTGTTTTTCGTCATGAATCTTGTTCTGGAGGTAGCTCTGCAGGGTGGTCACTAGCTAGCACAGCCACAAAGTCATACAATACAAGCCTTACCCTAACCTTAACCACACTGCTAACCGTAATGCCTAAACTTAAATTAAGTTTTCATGAATTCTTACAATATAGCCAATTTGCAGCTGGCCCATCAGAATTCGCTCACTTCTGCCTCAAGGACAAGACTCATCCCAATAAACATCAACCTACTTTAAGGAGCAGTTCTCTCTCTGTGGGTCTAACCACAAGAAGTTCTGGAAAATGGTTAAAGACCTGGAGAATAAACCCTCCTCCTCACAGCTGCCCATGTCCCTTAATGTTGATGATGTGGTTGTTACTGACAAGGAGCACATGGCTGAGCTCTTTAGTCACAACTTCATTAAGTCAGGATTCCTATTTGACTCAGCCATGCCTCATTGCCCGTCCAACATTTCCTCATCTCCCACCCCTTCTAATGCGACTAGCCTCGATGCTCCTCCCTCTTTTCCTCCTGCCCCGCTGCAAAGTTTCTCCCTGCAGGCAGTCACTGAGTCTGAGGTGCTAAAGGAGATCCTTAAACTTGACCCCAAAAAACCTTCTGGGTCACATGGTTTAGATCCTTTCTTCTTTAAGGTTGCAGCCCCTATCATCGCCAAGCCTATCTCTGACCTTTTTAACCTGTCTCTCCTCTCTGGGGAGGTTCCCATTGTTTGGAAGGCAGACACGGTGCATCCTTTATTTAAAGGGGGAGATCAAGCTGATCCTAACTGTTATAGGCCAATTTCTATTTTGACATGTTTATCAAAAGTGTTGTAAAAACTTGTTAATAATCAACTGACTGGCTTTCTTGATGTCTATAGTATTCTCTCTGGTATGCAATCTGGTTTCCGCTCAGGTTATGGATGTGTCACTGCAACCTTAAAGGTCCTAAATGATGTCACCATTGCCCTTGATTCTAAGCAATGTTGTGCTGCTATTTTTATTGACTTGGCCAAAGCTTTTGATACGATAGACCATTCCATTCTTGTGGGCCGGCTAAGGAGTATTGGTGTCTCTGAGGGGTCTTTGGCGTGGTTTGCTAACTACCTCTCTCAAAGAGTGCAGTGTATAAAGTCAGAACATCTGCTGTCTCAGCCACTGCCTGTCACCAAGGGAGTACCCCAAGGCTCGGTCCTATGCCCCACAGTCTTCTCAATTTACATCAACAACATAGCTCAGGCAGTAGGAAGCTCTCTCAAACATGTATATGCAGATGATACAGTCTTATACTCAACTGGCCCCTCCCCAGATGTTGTGTTAAACGCTCTACAACAAAGCTTTCTTAGTGTCCAACAAGCTTTCTCTGCCCTTAACCTTGTTCTGAACACCTCCAAAACAAAGGTAATGTGGTTTGGTATGAAGAATGCCCCTCTCCCCACCGGTGTGATTACTACCTCTGAGGGTTTAGAGCTTGAGGTAGTCACCTCATACAAGTACTTGGGAGTATGGCTAGACAGTAAACTGTCCTTCTCTCAGCACATATCAAAGCTTCAGGCTAAGGTTAAATCTAGACTTGGTTTCCTCTATCGTAATCGCTCCTCTTTCACCCCCGCTGCCAAACTAACCCTGATTCAGATGACCATCCTACCCATGCTAGATTACGGAGACGTAATTTATAGATTGGCAGGTAAGGGTGCTCTCGAGCGGCTAGATGTTCTTTACCATTCAGCCATCAGATTTGCCACCAATGCTCCTTATAGGACACATCACTGCACTCTATACTCCTCTGTAAACTGGTCATCTCTGTATACCCGTCGCAAGACCCACTGGTTGATTATTATTTATAAAACCCTCTTAGGCCTCACTCCCCCCTATCTGAGATACCTACTGCAGCCCTCATCCGCCACATACAACACCCGTTCTGCCAGTCACATTCTGTTAAAGGTTCCCAAAGCACACACATCCGTGGGTCGCTCCTCTTTTCAGTTCGCTGCAGCTAGCGACTGGAACAAGCTGCAAAAAACACTAAAACTGGACAATTTTATCTCCATCTCTTCATTCAAAGACTCAATCCTGGACACTCTTACTGACAGTTGTGGCTGCTTCGCTGTGATGTATTGTTGTCTCCACCTTCTTGCCTTTGTGCTGTTGTCTGTGCCCAATAATGTTTGTACCATGTTTTGTGCTGCTACCATGTTGTGCTGCTGCCATGTTGTGTTGCTACCATGTTGTTGTCATGTGGTGCTGCTACCACGCTGTGTTGTCATGGCCTGCAAGCAAATGTAGGCCTATAAATATGCCCATTTCGGGATGTCTAATAGTATTTTTGATTGTCTTAACATACCACCACTAATTAGCTGTGGACCTCAAATTAGCAAGTAAACGAAGTCTGTATTTAGACTCAATTGAGAATGCAAATATTTTCAGCTCTCTCCCTTTCGATAACCACTCGGCATGAAAGGGAAAAATGTAATGCTCTGATCCAGTCATAAAATACCTAATTACTTATCATCCTTTGCACAAATAGCCTTCAGCTGTGTCTGGTGCTCTGATGGCCCAGAATATTTTCTACAATGTTGCAAGTTTGCTAGCGCAAGTTCTTTTTTTTTGTGGATATTTTCTACCTGCAGGCTGCAATGTTTTTATTCGTTGGCTTTATGTAGGCTATTTTTACACAGTTAGCAACACAAGTTACTTTTAGATTTATATCATTAACCATAGACAATGATTTTGAGATAATACGACTATTATAAATTAAATTAAACTGTTCCATGAAAATGTGCATATAAAAACGCCTCATAACAGGCACGCAGATCAGTAGAAATGGTAAGATAAATTGGCACTCCAAATGGAAAAGGTTGCCGACCGCTGGTGTAGCCTAGCAACTTCAGGAGCGTAAAGGCAGAATCTTCGAAGGCCAGCAGCAGTGGGAGGAGGGTCGGGAACAGGTTTTTTTCTTCTGGTTAGGCTATCTTGATCTCTGGCTCCCTCTTGAGTAATTTGTGTGTCTTAATTATTTAATCAAACAGTGTGCTTAAAGTATCAGACAAGTTCAGTACATACAGTATATGGAAAAATACTAATTAAAAAATGTGAACCAATCGATTGGTCGAAAGAAAAGATTACTCTCGGACGCCCAAAAATGTATTTTGTCGGGGACAGCTCTAATCTATACCAGGGGGATGAATTAATCAGCAATTAGCATACCCTGCATAATACTAAGAAGAAAAACAGAAAAAGTGCCTAGCATAGTGCCATCGCGGTTCTAAATGACACTGAATGAGGGGACATTTCACGATTCATTAAATTCTGTGGAGTGAATTCAATATGCACCCATGTTTTAATGAGTGCCCAGCAGTGGTTCATTTGGAGATACCCTGAGAAGCAATGTGAAATGGTTATATTTCACAAGAGCAGCTTTCCTATCTAAAGACTTTTAGCTGAAGTGTGTGTGTGTGTGTGTGTGTGTGTGTGTGTGTGTGTGTGTGTGTGTGTGTGTGTGTGTGGGGGGGGGGGGGTCTCTGTGTGTGTGTGTGTATGTGTGTGTGTGCATGCGTGTGCATGTGCATGTGTTACTGCCTGTGGAAGGCAAATGGTGGTTTGGCTTAACTATAAAAAGAAACATTTACAAAGCACACACAATACACAGCTGGATGTTTTTGCTGGGGCTTCCATTTAGCTAAGGATTGTTCTTTTAAAAACTTCAAAGCACTCTAAAGTTTTAATTTAGGCTATTTGGCATTTACTGTGAACATTTCGTTTTCATCATATTTCTAATTTGTCAAAAGTTAGACAGCAACAAATTCAAGTTCTGAGATTCCTACCAATCTCATTTGAGTCTGTCATTCAGGTAGCTTGAATTAGAAACAACTGTCATCATTGATGCTCTGAACTCTAGAATCTAATTCATATTCCATTTTCCCCCAGTGCTCCAACCCCTCTTGTTTGAGAGCTGCAGATATGACACTGTCAGTCAGTCAGTCAGTCAGTCTATTCTAATAAGAACACCTCTCTCTTATCTCTCACATCACATTTTTAGGGGGCGGTTGCCGGGTGATTGATGGGAATTGGATCTTTGCCCTTAAATGTTGCCGTGGAGATAAAGCGGTGGTGACAGCTTCAGGCTGTGAGTGACTTCCTGGATATCTTCACGGTGACCGCGGGTGGTGACACTTCAGGAGTGACAGGTGATTTTCTCCTCCCAAGGTGTCAGAGGGGTTCTGAGCTCAGAGAGAGAGAAACTCTGAGTTCTGCCAAGGTGAAGACCTTTGGACACAATTCAGCTGAGTCCTTGCCAACAGGTCTCCGATTAGTTGGTTCAAACATTGAAGGTACCAGGATACAGGGTAAAACATGCATAGACAATATAACCAACAAGCACCACACCAGTTTTTAAGCAATAAGGCATGAGAACCTGGGGATTATCATGTGATAACTCCCGACTAAGGGCTATTCTTAGGCCCGAGGCGAAGCCAATGGCCGGGAAACAGCCCTTAGGAGGGAATTTTCACACGATAATTCCCGGGTTCGAGGGCCTTATTGCTTTTATAAAACCGGTTGCCAAAATATTTTAAAAAAATATTAACGACATGTTGCTAACCAAACAGGCTGGTCGTTAATTATATTCTCATGTTTTGACCCAGTCTTTCATTCTATTCATTCCACTTTGCTATGCTAAATCATTGGCATGTAGCTAGCTAGTAGAGGTTCAATGATGACGAGAGACAAGAATTTAAATAAATAATGATTAAATAAATAATGTATAAATAGGTAACAACCAGCTGATTGTCCATTTTGGACTGTTTCGTTCCGGAACCTATTTGGCCGGATCCGGAACCTCTCTTGGAATAATTTTTTTTCTCTCACTTTTTGCAATGTAAAAATTCAAATAAAAGCAATAAAAGCCTCTTCGTTAATTCTCCTGCCCCCCAATGGCTTATGGGTTTGCGTAACATTGTAACCTATATTTGAGACCAATGTGTGGCCGTAGCCTAGCTGTGGAGTGTACCCCAATAACAAGGCATAGCCTACAGTCGGGAACACGCGGCAAATCTGTCAGTGAACAAACACCATGCAGACAAAACAGGTTGGAAAGCAAATGGCTTCGGCTGAAAAGAGAAGACTAATCTGTATGCCGTAGGCTACCAAAATATTTGATCAACTTCCAAATATTTTACAAAGTAAAACAAGAGAGAGAGGCTTTTGGCACGAGCGCATCGGCCATCACCAGCGAGTGAGATGCGCATCATTGGGTGAGTCAGTAGAACTGGAAAGCATTTTTAGGACTATAATTTCCTCTTCATATTGTAGCCTACAATAGCTATTGATGGATTCAAGACAAGGTCATTTTATTGATCTCAGATTCTCAGTTGTTCTTTGTCAAAGTAGCCTCTCATTTCGATCATTTCTGGGGTATTATGGTGATTTCAAGACAACCCCAACTCGAGGTGGAATCATGACGTCAGTGATCTTCAGGTTGGAAAGTCGGAGCTCTAGAAAGAGGCCCGAGTTCCCGACTTGGAATCCGAGTTAGATGATCATTAAAAACAAATATTACCATTTGGAGCATTTTGTTCCGGCACCTCGCAATTTACAAATTAGCTAGGCTAACGTTACTTGTCCTTTGCTAGCTAACTAGCCACCTAAAGCTAACACACAATCACATCAAGTAGCTGAAATGACAGCAAACTATGTGCATTTTCGTTTGTTTTACCTTGGTTTATATTGGCAATTATTTGGATATATCCATTAATGATCCTGATAAATGAATTGACCTGGATCAGAGAAACTTTCAGTCTCGTCAGGTTCATATGCATGGCAACAGGTCAGATAGGCAGACAGCGAGGCTTATATTAACCCCCGCAGTACCAAACCAAATGCAAGGCTAGTAGCATGGGGAAATATTGTCTAGACGCAGGCTTTTTGGGGGGGTTTGTTTTGTTACATTGTTACACACAAGGATATACCATGACACATGACATTCTTAATTTAATAAAACGATACACATTAGAATGTAGTGTTTAAAGCTGCACACTGTAAATGTAGCCTACAGTTCTGAGGACGCACAAAGTGATTGTTTTATTTTAAAGCTCCTTTTCTCTCTCATGGGCTATGGGTTGCATTTCACATGAAAAGGCATTTTACTATCATAGCACATTTAGCCCTCCGGTCAGCCCTGACAACAGTATGCTATTTCCCCACTTCAAATAGCGAATAGCCTACAGGCGCACACCAACAGAGGGTTCACAAGACCTGACACAGATCAATGCAAAACACTCTTCCAGAAAACTTTTTGTTGAAACAGAATCAGTTCTGTGATGGCAAACAACAGACTGTTAGCCTAGGCTACTGTTTCTGTTAGCCTAGGCTACTGTTGCTGTTAGCCTAGTCTACTGGTGCTGTTAGCCTAGGCTACTGTTGCTGTTAGCCTAGGCTACTGTTGTTGTTAGCCTAGACTACTGTTGCTGTTAGCATAGGCTACTGTTGCTGTTAGCCTAGGCTAATGTTGTTGTTAGCCTAGGCTACTGGTGCTGTTAGCCTAGGCTACTGTTGCTGTTAGCCTAGGCTACTGTTGTTGTTAGCCTAGGCTACTGTTGCTGTCAGCCTAGTCTACTGGTGCTGTTAGCCTAGGATAATGTTGCTGTTACCCTAAGCTACTGTTAGCCAACAAACACTGGAATAGCACCCTGAAAACAACTGTGCACTGTCTGCTGTTGTGGCATTTTGCATCATTCTGAGTGGTCAATAGTAAATTACCTCGATAACAGCATTTTCAGGAGTTAAAAGCAACAACAAAACATTATTTATAAAAAGCAATCTATTAATATGGTTTTTGAGCACTATAACTTGTTTACAAGCATGGTAGCTGTACTTTTAGTTTATGGTTGACGCAGCTTGTTGGCCATTAACCAATCAGCATTTCTCAACGAGTTCAAAGCACGTGAATGCATCCAACTAATATTTACGACTTCGCAACTGGAAATTACCAACGTGCCACCTGGTTATGAACGTAGCATCAGAAAATAAAGGTTGATTTCATTATTTATCATTCGAGCAACAGATGGAGAGTTATTATCATTATGACTCATAATTATACATTGCCAAATTATTTCTCAGAAGGTTTGGTTTGAAATGTAGCTATTCTGCCAGGAGAGCATATTGTTATTCTCACTTCAGGTGAAAAATCTGTTCATAGATATTTCCGCTGCCCTCACTGGAGAATTGTACTCCACAGGCACGAAGAGGCCACTCTGCCTAGCTGCTGTGTGCAACACACCAGAACGTGCCTAGCTTCTCTGTGTAACACACCAGAACATGATTGGGGTGAACGCAGTCCTGGGATGTGTAGCCAGGATATCTGGCAGGCATTACACAGCTGACCAGTTTAGGTACTATTGAAGTGTGGTTATAAGATGGGAGAAAAATGTAACTATATAATATGGCCAGTAGCACATCAAACGCATGCAAGCACACACACACACACACACACCTTGGGGGACAGATTCAGCTGTAGGGTAGAGCAGCAGCTGTGCCCATCTGGTGTCCCACCATGAGGACTATCGTCCCAGAAAGCCTCAACTCTGCCAGCGCTAACACTGATCCTACAACACCCACAAACACACAAAACCTCACCCAAAGCTGCCATTCACACACACACAGAACCCAAATTACCCATCTCCACACATTCACCAGTATGTAAAAAGAACAGATAGGCCTACAGCATGAACCAACCAACAGAGAGTGGTTACATGGATGAACTGTGGACCAGTGCACAGCTTTAACATAAACGTTACAAACATTATAGGGGCAATCCGCAGTTGAAAAAACAACAAAGTGGTCACCCCACCACTGTTTTTGGTAAAAAGCTGGGGGATGGGGCTGGAGAAATGTAACCACTCTCATAAACAGAGCTAGATGCAAGGATTGACCATCCATGATATCAAATTGAGTTTTGACCATGTTTTGAGGCTATATTGTATTTGTTTACATTTAGGTGTTTACAAACATTGGTGTATAACAAGCTGATATTTTGGGTTCTGATGGGATACGACAGTTGAACTAAACTCATCAGGCATTTATTTATAAGTTATGTTTTTCAAGAATCAGTGGGTATATATATAATTAATTCCAAGTCCAAAAATTGATGTAGCAATTGCGGATCGCCCCTTTAAACAACCAGTGAATTCCCCATTAGGCTGAATCATCAACCGATGTAAATTAAGAACACACACTCTAAAGTCCATCCACCAAGAGGTTGTTTGTGTTGTTGCTCTTCACCCGCTAAAACAAAAATACCTAAATGATGCTAATACATGCATGGGCTTCCATAGGCGGAATATGGAATGTGGAATGATCCGGGCTAAACCCTGTGGTGTGGTGAGTATTCTCTGTGTGTTTGTGTGTGTGTGTGTGTGTGTGTGTGTGTGTGTGTGTGTGTGTGTGTGTGTGTGCCAGTGGACTGAGAGTTCCAGTGGGTTGTCTCAACGTCTCAACACTGCGGGGGAGCATAGAGTACACTGAGTCGACACAATGACTGACCCTGTCCGGACACGGTGGTGTGGCTACTGAACGCTTACGTTCTATCTCACTCACCCTGAGGCAGCAGCCACACCACTATAGAAAGTTAATCTATTTCTATGCACAACACTGACATCCACAGCACCACAGGAGAAAAACAGGGCATCCTGTGTCACGACTTCGGCCGAGGCTGCCTCCCCTCCTTGTTCGGGCAGGCTTCGGCGTTCGTTGTCACCGTAGTACTAACCACTGCCGCCCCAATCATCATCACAATTGTCTTGTCTTGTCAATCACACACACCTGGTTCTAATCCCCTAATTAGTCAGTGTATAAGTGTTCCCTCTGCCCCCTTGTCCTTGTGGGTGATTGTTTATTGTGGAGGTTAGTGAAGCTCGGTGGAGCTCGTGTATTTTGTATCAACGGGAGTATTTTCCCGTGTGCCTTGTATTTTCCAGTGCACCTGTTTTGTGCCCTGGAGTGTGTTTGACACATTTCTGCGTAAACCTGTATTTTGCGGATTAAAGCATGTTATTCTGTGATTTACCCTCCTGCGCCTGACTCCTTCAACACCACCTCATCACATCCTGCTGGCTGGGGAGTAAAACCCACCTCCTCCCAAACCAACTTCCTGACCATAGACGGATGAGAAAGAAAGGGAGAGACAGAGAGAGAGAGAGAGAGACAGAGAGAGAGAGAGAGAGAGAGAGAGAGAGAGAGAGAGAGAGAGACAGAGAGAGAGAGAGAGAGAGAGAGAGAGAGCAACCAGTGAAGAACAAACATTATTGTAAACCTATATTTACGTTTATTTATTTTCCCTTTTGTACTTTAACTATTTTTACATTGTAACAACACTGTATATAGACATAATATGGTTTTGGAACTTTTGTGAGTGTAATGTTTGCTGTTAATTTTGTATTGTTTATTTTTATTATCTATTCTATTTGCTTTGGCAATGTAAACATATGTTTCCCATGTCAACAAAGCCCTTAAATTGAATTGAGAGAGAGAGAGAGAGAGAGAGAGAGAGAGAGAGAGAGAGAGAGAGAGAGAGAGAGAGAGAGAGAGAGAGAGAGAGAGAGAGAGAGAGAGAGAGAGAGAGAGAGAGAGAGAGAGAGAAAGTTTTGCATAAGAGGTTGGAAGCCAACAAACCCATACAGGGTTGAAACAGCGAGGGAGACCGAGGTTGATACAAATGAGTATGGCTCATACTAGTTTCACACACAGGGTTTTTCTCAAGGCGAAGGCCCCCAGAGACAACATCCAGTGTTGCGGACACCAAATACATACACTAACAGAGATCAATCAAAGTGAGATTCTATTAGTTGGTAGGGGGCAGTGCCCCGTACCCCCTGTCACTGCTACCAGGGTCCTACCAACACCATACTGTAATAACTGTAGTTTAACCAGGGTCCTACCACAGTCACTGAGTAGGTTATGGTGTAAGAACCCTGACCACCAATACACACAGTAGCGGAACAGTTAACCACGTGTCCTACCTCTGTCGCTGTAGTCGTCCACCAGTATGATCTCAGCGATGAGGTGGTCTGGGGTGCGGTAGGAGATGCTGTGGATGGTCCTCAGCAGGGATGACCAGCCCTCGTTGTGGAAGGGGATGATGATGCTGGTGTTGGGAAGGTTCTCCAGGTACAGCTTTGTCTTGCAGCTGAGGAAAGAGCATACACAATATACCAGGGACTCTATTAGCCTCCATGGTTTAATACATCAAACCAGAACATTCTTGACCTGTCCTGACAAAGATCCCAGTGGCATCGAAACCTTGTCTGCTATGCATCTCAAATAAGCATCTCAAATGTATTTGTTCAATACATCAGAGACATTGTGCATGTTTCATCTCCACGTGTAGCTTATGCATTTGATGTAGAGCTAGCAGCATGTGTTGGTATTTGGTATGTTTGAATACAGTGACTCTTTGATAGGCTAAATGTAGCAATCTAATGCTGATGTCTTTGATCACTTCTTCCTACATCTGGAAAGCCAACCTGCTCCCTGCTGTGTGTCACACTGCCAAGCCATCCAGCCAGCCAGCAAGCTAGCCAGCCTCAAACACACAGCCTGCTTTACCTTCTACCTCTGTGCTGAGTCGTAAAGTAAATCAGCGTTTAAAAGAGCCACTCCAGCTTCAGCTGGCCTAATAAACAATTCAGGGAAATCTGCATGTTAATAGCCGCCTCGACAAAGCTGAAATTGGCAAATGAAGCAGCAGTTTTACGGTTCACACGAGTCTCCCGCTAATTTGCCCCAGTGACAACCTTGACAAGCTGTTCTAATTTATCACTGGTCTCTGCAGAATGATGACTCGGTACTTGGTTAGAAGCCCTGGTTTTAATTATTGTTTAATTTAGAGAGAGAGAGAGAGAGAGAGAGAGAGAGAGAGAGAGAGAGAGAGAGAGAGAAGAGAGAAGAGAGAGAGAGAGCTATATCGAGAGGAGCTCTTCTTTGAATTATAAGTTATAATTAATATAAGAGTTAAGAGAGATAAGACTATCCAATCCTGATGTCATCTGCCTTTGCCTAAAGACCGGAATCTGGACTTCACCAAAGAAATCGGAAATACGACATTGTCATCCTACAAGAACATGTATAGAGGAGACGGACCCACTGGTTGCCCTCTAGGTTACAGAGAGCTGGTAGTCCCATCCACCAAACTACCAGGTGTGAAACAGGGAAGGGACTCAGGGGGTATGCTAATTTGGTATAGAGCAGACCTAACTCACTCTATTAAATTAATCAAAACAGGAACATTTTACATTTGGTTAGAAATTCAAAAGGAAATTATCTCAACTGAGAAAAAATGTCCTCCTGTGTGCTACCTATATCCCCCCACTAGAATCCCCATACTTTAATGAAGACAGTTTCTCCATCCTGGAGGGGGAAATCAATCATTTCCAGACCCAGGGACATGTACTAGTCTGTGGCGACCTAAATGCCAGAACTGGACAAGAACCTGACAACCCTCAGCACACAGGGGGACAAACACCTACCTGGAGGTGACAGCATTCCCTCCCCCATATGCCCCCCTAGGCACAACTACGACAACATAACCAACAAAAATGGGTCACGACTCCTGCAGCTCTGTCGCACACTGGGTATGTACATAGTCAATGGTAGGCTTCGAGGGGACTCCTATGGTAGGTACACCTATAGCTCATCTCTTGGCAGTAGTACTGTAGACTACTTTATCACTGACCTCAACCCAGAGTCTCTCAGAGCGTTCACAGTCAGCCCACTGACACCCCTATCAGACCACAGCAAAATCACAGTCTACTTGAACAGAGCAATACTCAATCATGAGGCATCAAAGCCAAAATAACTAAATAATATTAAGAAATGCTATAGATGGAAGGAAAGTAGTGTTGAAACCTACCAAAAAACAATTAGGAAACAACAAATTCAATCCATTCTAGACAACTTCCTGGACAAAACGTTCCACTGTAATAGTGAAGGTGTAAACTTGGCAGTAGAAAACCTAAACAGTATATTTGACCTCTCAGCTTCCCTATCAAATCTAAAAATCTCTAACAGAAAACCAAAGAAAAGTAATAACAGTGATAAATGGTTTGATGAAGAATGCAAAAACCTAAGAAAGAAATTGAGAAACCTATCCAACCAAAAACATAGAGACCCAGAAAACCTGAGCCTACGCCTTCACTATGGTGAATCACTAAAACAATACAGAAATACACTACGGAAAAAGAAGGAACAGCATGTCAGAAATCAGCTCAATGTAATTGAAGAATCCATAGACTCTAACCACTTCTGGGAAAATTGGAAAACACTAAACAAACAACAACACGAAGAGCTATCTATCCAAAACGGAGATGTATGGGTAAACCACTTCTCCAATCTTTTTGGCCCTATAACAGAGAACAAACAGCAAAAAAATATACATGATCAAATGCAAATCTTAGAATCAACTATTAAAGACTACCAGAACCCACTGTATTCTCCAATTACATTGAATGAACTACAGGATAAAATACAAACCCTCCAACCCAAAAAGTCCTGTGGTGTTGATGGTATCCTCAATGAAATGATAAAATATACAGACCACAAATTTCAATTAGCTATACTTAAACTCTTTAACATCATCCTTAGCTCTGGCATCTTCCCCAACATCTGGAACCAAGGACTGATCACCCCAATCCACAAAAGTGGAGACAAATTTGACCCCAATAACTACCGTGGGATATGCGTCAACAGCAACCTTGGGAAAATCCTCTGCATTATCATTAACAGCAGACTAGTTCATTTCCTCAGTGAAAACAATGTACTGAGCAAATGTCAAATTGGCTTTTTACCAAATTACCGTACGACAGACCACATATTCACCCTGCACACCCTAATTGACAAACAAACAAAACAAAACAAAGGCAAAGTCTTCTCATGCTTTGTTGATTTCAAAAAAAGCTTTTGACTCAATTTGGCATGAGGGTCTGCTATACAAATTGATGGAAAGTGGGGTTGGGGGAAAAACATACGACATTATAAAATCCATGTACACAAACAACAAGTGTGCGGTTAAAATTGGCAAAAAACACACACATTTCTTTCCACAGGGCCGTGGGGTGAGACAGGGATGCAGTTTAAGCCCCACCCTCTTCAACATATATATCAACGAATTGGCGAGGGCACTAGAACAGTCTGCAGCACCCGGCCTCACCCTACTAGAATCTGAAGTCAAATGTCTTCTGTTTGCTGACGATCTGGTGCTTCTGTCACCAACCAAGGAGGGCCTACAGCAGCACCTAGATCTTCTGCACAGATTCTGTCAGACCTGGGCCCTGACAGTAAATCTCAGTAAGACAAAAATAATGGTGTTCCAAAAAAGGTCCAGTTGCCAGGACCACAAATACAAATTCCATCTAGACACCGTTGCCCTAGAGCACACAAAAAACTATACATACCTCGGCCTAAACATCAGCGCCACAGGTAACTTCCACAAAGCTGTGAACGATCTGAGAGACAAGGCAAGAAGGGCCTTCTATGCCATCAAAAGGAACATAAAATTTGACATACCAATTAGGATCTGGCTAAAAATACTTGAATCAGTTATAGAACCCATTGCCCTTTATGGTTCTGAGGTCTGGGGTCCGCTCACCAACCAAGAATTCACAAAATGGGACAAACACCAAATTGAGACTCTGCATGCAGAATTCTGCAAAAACATCCTCCGTGTACAACGTAAAACACCAAATAATGCATGCAGAGCAGAATTAGGCCAATACCCGCTAATTATCAAAATCCAGAAAAGAGCCGTTAAATTCTATAACCACTTAAAAGGAAGCGATTCCCAAACCTTCCATAACAAAGCCATCACCTACAGAGAGATGAACTTGGAGAAGAGTCCCCTAAGTAAGCTTGTCCTGGGGCTCTGTTCACAAACACAAACAGACCCCACACAGCCCCAGGACAACAACAACAACAACACAACTAGACCCAACCAAATCATGAGAAAACAAAAAGAGAATTACTTGACACATTGGAAAGAACAAACAAAAAAACAGAGCAAACTAGTATGCTATTTGGCCCTAAACAGAGAGTACACAGTGGCAGAATACTTGACCACTGTGACTGACCCAAACTTAAGGAAAGCTTTGACTATGTACAGACTCAGTGAGCATAGCCTTGCTATTGAGAAAGGCCGCCGTAGGCAGACCTGGCTCTCAAGAGAAGACAGGCTATGTGCACACTGCCCACAAAATGAGGTGGAAACTGAGCTGCACTTCCTAACCTCCTGCCAAATGTATGACCATATTAGAGACACATATTTCCCTCAGATTACAGCGATCCACAAAGAATTCGAAAACAAATCCAATTTTGATAAACTCCCTTATCTACTGGGTGAAAAACCACAGTGTGCCATCACAGCTGCAAGATTTGTGACCTGTTGCCACAAGAAAAGGGCAACCAGTGAAGAACAAACACCATTGTAAATACAACCCATATTTATGTTCATTTATTTTCCCATTTGTACTTAAACTATTTGCACATTGTTACAACACTGTATATATACATAATATGACATTTGAAATGTCTTTATTCTTTTGGAACTTCTGAGTGTAATGTTTACTGTTAATATTTATTGTTTATTTCACTTTTGTTTACTATCTACTTCACTTGCTTTGGCAATGTTAACATACGTTTCCCATGCCAATAAAGCCCTTAAATTGAAATTGAATTGAATTGAGAGAGAGAGAGAGGAGTGGGAGGGAGAGAGAGAGAGAGAGAGAGAGAGAGAGAGAGAGAGAGAAAATGAGAGAGCGTGAAAAGGGAAAGGAGAGAGGGAGCGATAGAGAGAGAGAAACCGAGAGTGGAAGGGGGAGAGACAGAGATTCTCTATCGAGAGCGAGAGGAGGGAGGGAGGGAGGGAGGGGTGAGAGAGAGAGAGTGAGAGTAATAAAAAGGAACTGCAGCATACAAATCCCCCACCAAAATGCTCCAGCTCCCAACATCTGTGCTGGGCTGGGGAAGCAAATGAATTCCTGCTGGAGTTGAGCCAATCTCTAAAACACAAGGTTGGTCTCTCCAGCTGCCCTGTCAGATAATTCTACATTATGAAATACCATTCAGGAAGGCGAGGAGCATCGATTTGCATAGTAATAGGCAGATAGCGCCACATACCATTATGGAAAATACCGTTGTCACCCCCCTCCGGCGCCGTATTGCGAGGAAACTTGGGCTGGATTGGGGCTTTATAGACGACTTCTAAATGCATATAGGCTTAAATTAAACTTCCATTTTCCCATCCTTACTGTATGGAATGAGTGTGTGAGAAAGAGAGAAAGAATGAGAGAGTAGTGAGTGAATAAATGACTGAATAGAAATATCCGTCTTGGGATCTGGTGAGGAGAGACTCCGTTCAGTTCAGGTAAGAATGAAGCAAAATTGACAGCTTCCGTTGAGCTTGATAAGATGACATTGAACATTATGCAGACTTGATGCTATCAACTGCTGATGTAATTATTTTTCATCTCAACTAGGCCTTTGCACTGCTGTGGTTGTCAGACCCGATGAGAATGACGTTTATGTTACATTCTGTATGTGGAAATGCCTTCAGTCTGTTCCTTACGTGTTGATTTTCCACTCCCCGCATGATATGATTCCCCACTGTGTCTTATAGTGTCTGTAAACATTGCAGTGTCTGCCAAGCTGTTACAGCCATTTAATAACAGGTCACTGCTCTCCAGTTCAGATCAGGACATACTGTGTAACACCTGACTGGGTAAATACATAGGTGTTAATGTTTTAATGAAATGTTGAGCTGCGTAATTTGGCGTAAAATTCACAATGCAGTATCGCATCTGCTTTAAAAACATCTGTAGGCTAGGTACACTAACTACCGAACTTTCAACTTCTCCATCACATCGTGTGACTTGTGGAACTGATTATAAACTCAGCAAAAAAAGAAATGTCCTCTCACTGTCAACAGCGTTTATTTTCAGCAAACTTAACATGTGTAAATATTTCTATGAACATAACAAGATTCAACAACTGAGACATATACTGAACAAGTTCCACAGACATGTGACTAACAGAAATTGAATAATGTGTCCCTGAACAAAGGGGGGGTCAAAATCAAAAGTAACAGTCAGTATCTGGTGTGGCCACCAGCTGCATTAAGTAATGCAGTGCATCTCCTCCTCATGGACTGCACCAGATTTGCCAGTTCTTGCTGTGAGATGTTACCACACTCTTCCACCAAGGCACCTGCAAGTTCCCAGACATTTCTGGGGGGAATGGCCCTAGCCCTCACCCTCCGATCCAACAGGTCCCAGACGTGCTCAATGGGATTGAGATCCGGGCTCTTCGCTGGCCATGGCAGAACACTGACATTCCTGTCTTGCAGGAAATCACGCACAGAACGAGCAGTATGGCTGGTGGCATTGTCATGCTGGAGAGTCATGTCAGGATGAGCCTGCAGGAAGGGTACCACATGAGGGAGGAGGATGTCTTCCCTGTAACGCACAGCGTTGAGATTGCCTGCAATGACAACAAGCTCAGTCCGATGATGCTGTGACACACCGCCCCAGACCATGACGGAGCCTCCACCTCCAAATCGATCCTGCTCCAGAGTACAGGCCTCGGTGTAACGCTCATTCCTTCGACGAAAAACGCGAATTCGACCATCACCTCTGGTGAGACAAAACCGCGACTCGTCAGTGAAGAGCACCTTTTGCCAATCCTGTCTGGTCCAGCGACGGTGGGTTTGTGCCCATAGGCGACGTTGTTGCCGGTGATGTCTGGTGAAGACCTGCCTTACAACAGGCCTACAAGCCCTCAGTCCAGCCTCTCTCAGCCTATTGCGGACAGTGTGAGCACTGATGGAGGGATTGTGCGTTCCTGGTGTAACTCGGGCAGTTGTTGTTGCCATCCTGTACCTGTCCCGCAGGTGTGATGTTCGGATGTACCGATCTTGTGCAGGTGTTGTTACACGTGGTCTGCCACTGCGAGGACGATCAGCTCTCCGTCCTGTCTTCCTGTAGCGCTGTCTTAGGCGTCTCACAGTACTGACATTGCAATTTATTGCCCTGGCCACATCTGCAGTCCTCATGCCTCCTTGCTGCATGCCTAAGGCACGTTCACGCAGATGAGCAGGGACCCTGGGCATCTTTCTTTTGGTGTTTTTCAGAGTCAGTAGAAAGGCCTCTTTAGTGTCCTAAGTTTTCATAACTGTGACCTTAATTGCCTACCGTCTGTAAGCTGTTAGTGTCTTAACGACCGTTCCACAGGTGCATGTTCATTAATTGTTTACGGTTCATTGAACAAGCATGGGAAACAGTGTTTAAACCCTTTACAATGAAGATCTGTGAAGTTATTTAGATTTTTACAAATTATCTTTGAAAGACAGTTTCTTTTTTTGCCTGAGTTTAGATAGTCCAATGCTTTAGTAATTGAGAAAAAACTGTAATTAATTCAACAGTGAAAACGTATTGAAAATAGCCAAATATAAAACAGTAACTAAATCTAAAAGGGTTCTTTGGCTATCCTCCTTTTTGGTTCCAGGTAGAACTATTTTGGGTTCCATCTATGTAAAGGGTTCTACATGGAATTCAAAAGGGTTCTACCTGGAACCAAAAGGGTTCTACTTGGAACCAAAAAGGGTTATTCAAAGGGGACAGTTAAATAACAATTTTAGGTTCTAGATAGTGTATGTGCAGACAGACTGAGAAATAAAACATTGCCAAAAATACTTAGCATTCACAGACCTCGCAATCCCTTAAACGTTTTTAACCTGTGAGGTTTATTCTCCGTATCGCTTTGCGTCAACAACATTAGCTAGGATAGTGGCAGCACTGGCCTCATTTCCATCTCTTAAATGAGTTGAAATCAGGGGTGTATCTGAGTTATAGCTGTCATTACATTAGGCAGGCAGGCAGAACAGACAAGCAGGAAGAACAGGCAGAACAGACAGACAGGCAGAGCAGGCAGGGCCCCAGCTTACTGTGAGGGAGATGGAGATGATTCAGCCACTGTCTACAAAACAACGTTCCAGATCACATACTGAGAGGATTGCTGCAGGGCTTTATGAGACTGTAAATAAACAGAGATGCCCTCTCTCCATAGAGATACTCTCTTGTTCTCTCTCTCTCTCTCTCTCTCTCTCTCTCTCTCTCTCTCCTCTCTCTCTCTCTCCCACTCTATCTCTCTCCCTGATCTCGTCGTCTCATCGTCTCTCTCTCTCTCTCGTCTCGTCCCATCATCTCTCTCTCGTCTTCTCTCATCCTCTCTCCTCTCTCTCTACTCTCCTCTCTCATCTCTCTCTTCTCCCTCTCTTCTCTCTCTCTCTCTCGGGGGTTTATCTCTGCACAAGGCACGTCACCTGCTGAAGGAAATTGCCATGTTTTTTTAGTGATGATGGAACTGAACTGAAGAGCATTGCCCTGGAGGGCTGATTTAGCTTCATAGAAACCTCACTTCCTGTCAACATGTGTTCTGATCCCACACACACGGAGTGCCGTGTGGAAAACATGTTTACTAGTAATTGAGCACACACCATTTTCACACATGAAAAGAGACTTACGTGCACACCTTGTACATCCTGTGCATCATGTCGAATATACTTGCACCCACACACTCACTCCCACACACACACACAAACACACACATCCCCTCGCCCCCCACACACACACTAACTCTAAGTACACACACACATGCACAGACAGTCACACAGTCAGTAGAGATTAGACATGGGACAATATCCAGAGGGAGAAAACACCATATTTCCATCCTAAGCTTAACTAGCTTTCAAATGAGAAAATGTCCACATATCCCTCTCCACAGTATGCACAGCACAGCGTGGCATCTAATTTCCCTACCTCACTAACATGGAATCAGTCCAAATGGCACCCTATGCCCTATATAGTGCTTTTTTTTTTACCAGGAACCATAGGGTGAAAAGTAGTGCACTATATAGGGAGTAGGGTGCCATTTGGGATGCAGTCCCTCTCCAGCCCGCCCGCAGTGGAGGGAATAGTTCTCATTATCGACAGAGCTGTAGCAAACTACTGCAATCCCCCACCTGACTTCGAACCCATTGCATTAAGAGTTACTGGGGGATTTGTTTCTTGCAAGGTGAGACACAGAGAGAGAGAGAGGCAGAAAGCAGAGAGAAGAGAGAGGAAAGAGAGAAGAGAGAGAGAGAGAGGAGAGAGAGAAGAGATGAGAGAGAGAGCAGTAGAGAGAGAGAGAGAGATAGAGAGAGAGAGAGAGAGAGAGAGAGAGAGAGAGAGAGAAGAGAGAGAAGCGAGAGAGAAAAATCCATGTTGTAAAATATGTTTCTATGAGGGCCTAATGGTGCGTAGGCCAGTGGTTTCTCTCTCTCTCTCTCTTTCTTACAATGCCTTCTAGTGCTGCCTGAGAGCCATTATGGATCAATCCATCAAAGACCTTGTAAATTGTAAATCCTCTTTAAGCAATATCTGAAATCACTGCGAAAAGCAGCCTATAGGGCCATTCTGACATACATATGCAGCACCGTTCAACTAAACACCTTTGATTGGTACCAGAGTAGCGGAGTAACCACCCACCTCAAACCCCTAATCGATGTAAGCTGCCATTTTCCATGTAATGATATTACCCATGTTCGCCTCCGAATGAATAGCAGTGAAGTCTCAGTGCAAATTGTGTACATTGTATACGGGTTACTTTCACATTTATTTGATGTGAGGATCAATGGAGTTGAAAGTGTTCATTCATACTCCTCTCCTCCAAGCCATTGAACAGACACAGATACCAAGACCTGGGGGATTAGAGAAAACAACATCGTTGGAGATGCGAGGCGTGACCCCATCTTGTGTTTGAAGTGAAATGTTTACACGCACACCACCATGTTCTCTCGTTAGTAGTGCAGCAATTGACCCCCAATTAACACATGTTATTACCTCTGCTGTGCACATTTATTGTGTCAACATTTGGGTCAGAGAAAGACCCATCTGTCTGTCTACTCACTTTGGATGTCTGATGTCTGGTAGAGAGCGGTCCAGGGCGAGGTTGTTACTAACGTAGATGTTGAAGCCGTTCTCCTTGTAAACCGAGTCGTCACACTCATCCTCAGCCAGAGGGTAGGGCTTGCCATGTTCCCCTTTCCCTAAAAGACAGAAAATAGTGTGAAATCTCAAGGTGCTTTGCACTGTGTGTGTGTGTGTGTGTGTGTGTGTGTGTGTGTGTGTGTGTGTGTGTGTGTGTGTGTGTGTGTGTGTGTGTGTGTGTGTGTGTCTCAGAGGGTCATAATGGTTCACTTTAACTCATTTGTCAATGGGTATTTTTTGTTAGATACCCTGTTGAGTAATTGCAGTGTTCCTCTTCTCACCCATTTCTATGATAAGAAAAGACACTGTAAATGCACTGATTTTTTTCAAGGCTTGGCAGTTAGCCACTTTGGCGTAACGATGACTCCTAAATCCTCAAAAGACATCAAACCAGGAAGGGAAACATTTTACGATGACTAATATGATTATACACACCTCTGTGATTTATCAGATCAGGAGTGCGAGTATTTTTTTTATTTTTTTTGTCATTTAGCAGACACTCTTATCCAGAGCAACTTACAGGAACAATTAGGGTTAAGTGCCTTACTCAAGGGCACATCGACAGATTTTTCACCTAATCGACTCAGGGATTAGAACCAGCAACCTTTTGGTTACTGGCACAATGCTCTTAACCACTAAGCTACCTGCCGCCCAAGTATGTGTGTGTGTGTGTGTGTGTATATATATATGTGTGTGTGAATAAGCAAACACACTCTGCTTAACATGCTTGAATTGAATTTTCCTTGGATACTTGACCTTAATCATAACTGCCGTTTAGACACAAGTTAAATACAAACAATAGGCCAAGAGCTGTGTGTTCATTTGAACTGCTACGGTGTGAGTATCTCATTAGGGGGGCTTGGTAAAGCATGCAATGCTAAAAACAGTAGCCTACATGGGTGTGGATCAGTCACAGTAGCTGTATTGAAACACTGCTATACAGCACCATTTGATTAATATAAAAGCTCCTGCATGCTTATAACAAGTTATAGGCCTAAAACATTATACCTGCAGGCTTGAAGTAAAGTGTTACTGTCATTGTTCAATCAAATGGTGCTGGTTAGTGGTTACCAAGGTGATGCAATGGTTTGCTGTGCACAGAAACTAAATTAAGAACAAAACGCTATGTTTTTGATGCCATTGCATGTGATATACTATGCCAGTAACTATGGTGACATACTATAGTATCTATCTGCACAGGCTGTACTATTGAGTCCATCCATTTGTTCTGCGACCCCCCTACTGTTTAATCTTGAGTTCTGGACTGAGATGTGAAATCTCAGAAAGAGTCTGTGTGGTGACAGAATCATTGGCTCACACTCTGCAATGTGCATTACTGCCATGAGCTTGACTAAATGCCCGCCATGAATCAAGCCCCAGGGGCTCCGATGCTGAAGGAAAGGCGTTGCATATCACTTAAGTTGCCAATCACACTTGACTGACAGCTTCTCTTTCATCTAATTAAAACATTTACCTCGTTTATATCTACTAGGGGCCAGAAGTAGAGGATCCTATCTGCATACTATATTAGAGGATGCTGCAATTAAATCACAATTGGACATAGAAGCGTCTAATTCCGGAATCCTGCTAATGTGCATTGTTCTTATTGGACGAGGGACAGATATCAGAGAAATGTACAGCTTCTAATATAAAGAGAACGCTTACAATATAGAGAGAAATCTATTTCAGCACATATTATTGTATGGTATGTTAAGGTTATCCCTGAAAACACTCCTGGCATGGCAAACATGCGGTTAATGTACACTGACAGCTGGCTTTGTTTGATGTACTGAGAGGATGCAGAGAGGAACACAATGACATTCTTAACGAGAGACTTTCCTTTTGATGTGTGAGCGAGACCGAGGAAAACATGGAAAGTTTCCAGGACGAGTACAAAAGAGGGAAATAGAAAAATCTTTGTTTTTGTAAAATATTAAATGGATTTGGAAGCGGGTGGTGGGAAATATTTTGCAGGCACCGTCTGCCAAGTAAAGGCTTGTGTTTCAAGTAGGTATCGTATGCCACAATCTTAGAGTCGGCTGGAAATAGGATGAAACGAAACCAACGTCCCTGTCCTCTCATAAACACAATTCATTTTACATCCTTTGCCAAAACAACGCTAATGAATAAATCACTTGCCAAGTTTAATGTCGTTCATAATTTCTCTCATCAACGTGAATTACACATTGACATCACCAGTGATCCCCCTCTTCCTCTCAATAATGCGGTGAGTTCAATAACTGTAGTATTTTTGGCTGCTTGAACCTAATTTTCCTCTGTACATAATTATTGAAACGCTACACCCACAGCACAGGGCAGCCAAGCTCACAGGAGGGAGGCAAAAAAACAAGCAAATTATATATTCCAATCCACCACACCCACACATTAATGTTCAATGTTAATGGTTCTCCATTCCATCGTTTCAGAATCAGTCAGAAGGGGCTTGATTTTCTAAAACAATGGCGGTTCAAAAAACACGAAAGTAAAACACGGACAAAGTGCACTCACCCAATTTCCCTGCTGAAAGAACATGTAAATGGATGCTTTTAAAAGGTATAATGGGATAGATAATATAGAGAGAAAATCACTTAATTGGTTTAACACATGAATCATTCCTACATGCTGTTCAATGGGGTTAGATTTTCCACAGCTCCCTAGGTGGATGCTGGTGGTGTTTATGGGTCTGTATTCACAATGAGTCTCAGAGTAGGAGTGCTGATATAGGATCAGTTTGGCCTTTTAGATCATAATGAATAAGATGTTATGGACAAGGGGGACCTGATCCTAGATCAGGACTCCTACTTGGAGACACTATTTGAATGCGGGCCCTGTTCTGTAATCACTAATCTATTCACAACAGAGATGGGCCAGAGGCTGACGTCTACTTGATTGAGAGATGCTCAACATTTAATTAACAGGCCCATCACAGTACAATGATTTTGATTACCATCACTGCAGCTTTATAAGTGGTTAATACGCAGGCCTACAATACACTACTCAGACTACACCTCCCATCATTTTGCATATCACAGGGGCAAATTCCTTTTATACAAAGCACTTGTATATGAGCTGCTTTAGATTTGTAAGTGGTTAATACATATAGACAGACTACACTTTTGCCATCCGACGTACGCAAGAAAAACAGCGGCAAATTCATTATTCATCCCTGGGTTTCATGCACTGATGGGCTAAAATCAGCTAGATTCATCAAAAATGAATAGAAAGCTTTTCGTACAATCAAGGCTCAACAGATGGTGTGGTACATATGTGGTGGAGCTCTGGTGGGACAATGACCATGCATCATGATCTGACCAGACAGGAGGGCAGAGTGGGCAACGTTCAGGATTTAGGCAGCCATATTGTAGGGTTACGTGATGTGACAGTTCTACCTCCCTAATTGCACCCTATTCCCTACATAGTGCACTACTTTCGACCAGGGCCCATAGGGGAATGTGGGGAATAGGGTGTTATTAAGGACAGAACCCCTGTTTGACGTCTCTGTTTTAGTCTGGTAGCAATTCGACTTAGTCTAATCTGGCTAATGACTTTATTTAATACTCTGAAGTCTGCATGCATTAGAATTTACGGCCGAGTTCCGCAATTCCAGAAGCTGTAAAAGTGTTCTATTCTCCATTGTTGCCTGGTCATTAATATTGCCTCTGACATGTTTATCTACAGTTGACATGAACCCCTGACCGAAATAATATATTTCCTGTCTGGCATTGTTGATTTATCCGGCTTGGCTTCAAATGTTTCCCAGCTCTGGGGGTACGTTCCAAAAGCCACCTTATTCCCTGTATCGTGCACTACTTTTGACCAAAACTGGTCAAAAGTAGTGCACTATGTAGGAACTAGGATTCCATTTGGGATGCAGACAAGGTCTCTACCAGGATGGGACTATTGAAATCTATCTGCTAAAATATTAAAGCTTTAACTGGCAACGCCACAGTGATTTAACCTTAAGGGGGCTAAGACTGAAAATACTTAAAAGTTTCAAATAGAGCTCTTTTTGACTGATGCTGTAACAGCACAGCGGCAGGAAGGAGACACAGATACTCTGTTTGAATTAGGAGAGGAACATTGGGTCTCTGACTCTGCTCCTTACTTGACATTTATGTAATGTATGGAAATAGAAATAGCTTTGGTTATGTGTGGATACAATCAATCCTGGCTCGAACACCCCTCCCCCCAGATACTTATTGTTTGAATAGTGGATACTAATGGCTTGTCTGTCAGTGACCTTTTCTAATTAATGTAAATCTGAATTGAGATCATGGTACATGTTCTCACTTAGCTAAGGGTTAGTCTTACCTCTACTTGGTGGAAACTGACCATCATTATTATTATTAATTTTTTGGGCTCAAATGGAAATTCATTTGTCCAGCATCTGTGCTCCCATTGCTCAAAAAGCAGAGTCTTAAAGGGAACATTATCAAATAGATCAATATGACTTCCAAAGGTACTGTACAGTACCTACAGTACCTTAATAATACACTTACTGCCTTGGAAAACAATCTCCCCTTTGCCTTCATGGAAACCATTATAGTAAATCATGATAAAGATAGACTTGGTTGAAGTTATTTATGTGGACATTTGTTACGTGAGGTCTCAGCTTGCTCGTTGTGTGCAGAGTGAGAAGTCTTTAGCTACAGGAGGTGTAGTGAAATAAAAGGATCCTAGGGACTTTCTGTGATTGTCTGTGGTTTCCTGTGAGTTCTCTGTGAGACGTACCGACACGCAGTTCGTCTCTCCTGATACTCTCGTTATCATGCCAGTCTCTCCTCCTCAAGCCGTCCGTCCAGGTGTAAATGTGTCCTTCGCTCAGCCCCAGCGAGAAGCCCTGAAAAAGACGAGAGAGGGATGAGGAGGGGAGGAAGAGGGTGGGGGACAATTCCATCATTCCATCATCACCCACTCTGAGAGATTAAATGCTGTGTTTTAGTGTGAGCCTCAGCCAAACAGTAATACGAAGAGAAAGGTAAAACATTTACATTTTGATAGAGCGTTCAGCCCTAATAATTTCACTGACCATCATTTTTATTCATTCTCCCTTCACTCCATCAACAGTTGAACGTGCTGATTCTATAAAAATAAATAAATATTGAATGACATTTGAATTCAACTGACAAAGAAAACTGTTATGCATGAATAAGTTTGAAGTGACTTCAAATTGCTCTCTCAAGTGCTTCCCAGAGCAACAGAAGCTAAAACTTGGTAATAATTCAGATATCCTAAGCTATGTTCTGCTTTCTGTTTGCTTTCCGTGAATTTTGATGGTTGCTTGG